TGCTTTGAGGCCCCCAGGGCCACAGGACGACCCCCACAAGCGCTCAGGTTGCCTGTCTCCCGTGGATGACGATGACCGCGTCCTCTCCTGGGGCCGGGCCTGCCCCTCCCCCTGGGGCCGCAGCGCCATCCATGGCGCTGGCTCCCCGAGCCGCGGCTCCGAGGACCTAGCAGACTCTGGGGAGTCTGCAGGGCAGGCCCAGGGTGGGCGGGGCTCCCTGTGCCTCTGGCCAGCCAGGAGAGCAGGGGCTCCAGTCGGCGCCCCTGACCACTCTTACCGAGAAGTAGGCAGTGGTGGGCACCCCGTCAAAGTAGTCCTGGAGGGGCTGGAGGCGGTTGATGTGGGAAGAGAAGTTCTGAGGCCACGGTTTGGGGAGGACAGCCTTTGGCGCCCCCAGCACCCAGTAGGTCTGGAAGGTCTTCTCCAGGTCCTGGGCCAGGCGGCTGCAGTTGTAGATGATGGCGCCGAGCTCCTTCACCTGCAGGCACCGGGGCAGCGCTGCGGGAGGGGCCCCTCTGGGGCCGTGTGGACCCCCTGGGCCAGGGGTGCTGCGCAGGTGCGGCCCCCGGCTCGGCAGCCGCTCAACAGCAGCAACCATCGCCCGCGAGAATCCGTAGTAGATGGTGCGCTGGCGGAAGCCATGGGGTGGGGTGCCCTGCGGGTGCCTGTTTTCCTTGAACATTGTATTCCAAGGGCAATACGTGTTTATTACCAAAAGACGATAGAAAACGCATAAATGCACAGAGAAGAAAGAAAAAAAAATCATTCTCCACTGCTAAACGACAGCTGCTGTCACCGTTTTGACTCATGGTTAAAGCATTGCTTTTCCTAGAAGGGATCGTGCTTTGTCTGCATGATTTCCTGGATAAGGTGACTTGAGCATCTTTCTGGGCGGTCAAATGACCTTCCGCAGCAGGAGCTCAGCGCCATGAGAATCCGGTAACCAGTCTCCGGGTGTTTCTACCACAGCGATGTTACAGACATGCCTACTTCCCCCAGGGTGGCTGGCCACGTGGGGACATGGGGTCTCCCCTCTCGGGGCTCAGGCGCTCACCTGTGTCAGAGACCGCCAGTCCATGTTGGCACTGCCCACATAGACGTGCCGCCCATCCACGACCCAGAACTTGGAGTGCAAAACGCCACCGGTGAGCCTTCCCATGGGCACATGTCGCACCTGGGCACCTGACGAGGGTGCAGGATGGTGTGGTGAACCCGCTTTGTGCTGAGCCAGATTCTCAGCTCTCTCTTTGCAGTTGGGTGGACTCCTTTCTCCTCACAGCAGTCCTACTCAGTTGATGTTGTTATTCCCATTTTACAGGTGGGAAAACTGAGGCATTGACCAGCCTGGGGTCCCTCCAGGCAGCCCGGCTCTGTGAGGATTGTCCCTGCTGCCTCTGGCTCCCGGCCAAGCCACCACCCACAGGTTGAAGCTGCTGGGCTCAGCGAGGCCCGGAGACCACCCTGTGCTCTGCCCCCTGGGAAATGACACGTCCGGCTCCCTGGAACCAGCCCCCGGGGAAGCCCACTTGAAGGCGCTTGCGGCGCTGGGCTCCCGGCCTCCCCCTCCCGGGCAGCCCCACTGCTCTCGCCCATCCCCAGGCCCAGGACGGCAGGAACCTACCTCGGGCCACCAGTACCTGCAGGTCGGTGGAGTTCTGGACCAGTGTCGGGGTGCTGGTGGCCACAGCCAGGGAAACGTTTCTGTCCAGCAGCTGCTGCAGCTTCTGCAGAAGGGCCTCTCCCTGAGAGAGCAGGCCAGCGGTGAGAGACCACCCCCATCCCACCAGGAAGGGCCCAGACTTCCCCAGGAGGCCGCCTCTGGCCGCCCACAGATGCGCTGCCCGCCGGGCTTGCTGTGTGCCCGGCCCCTGAACTGCCCGCGGCCTCCGAGCCGGGGGAGGGGTGGCGCACCAG